AGCAACCATTCACAGATTGATTTCTTGCTCTTCTTAAAACCATTTCTGATCGCTAACTACAAGACTTTTGTACAAGGGCAACCTGTCAGTGGTAATGATGATCACCATCTCAGACATTTGATCTTTTACTCCCTTACTACTGGAATTCTCCCTTCTGAGGTCCATCCTCCTTACTTTTAAAATTACATTGCCACCCAGTTTGTTAGTTTTTCTAATCTATACTCCTGCCTTTCACATTGTACTGTAATAATTTTCAGAACACCCTGAAACCACAGGAGAAATATGTCTCAGATTTAATTTTACAACTATGAAATATGTCTGATTTCACATCAAATGCTTTTTACTCTCTGCCCCTGCTTATTTATGTGAGAAGATAAATAGCTCTTCTGTTAAACAAGAGGCAGGCTTCTATGTCACACACCACCAGAAATATTCCCAGGTACTGCTCCTTAGAGGCAAAACAGCAAGAAGCCCTGGGAGAGCAAAGCTACTTATTTCAACAACGTCCCTCCCTCAAAGCGCTGTGATTGGAGAGCCCTGGTAAAACCAGTTGCTCTGATTACAAGCTAAATTTGTCCATCACAAAGGAAATCTCTCCTCACCCTGGCATTTTCCTTGTTTGGAAAGCTTAGAGACACAGTTTTGCTTTTAGCAGACACAATGACTATATTCACACATCCTTTTATTTTAGAAACAATGAATATATCTCACTTCTTCCAAACTAACCTGAAGACAGAGCTACCACAGCAATGGAAATTATAAAGGGGAAGAAATGGCAGCATAAGAGACAGTGAGGCCAAACATCATTTTACCGTGGGATTTTCAAGTTTGTTCTTATGAACACAGCTGCCAAAACACAATTAAGAGTCCAATTTTCCTTGAATGATTCATGCAAGCCACTGCATTCTGCAATGTGATAAAACCTTTGCAAAGAACAGAAAGAATGTTAACCTGCCAGAGTAAAATGATAATGCTTCACAAAAAATAACTGATCTACTTATTCTTTATTGAAAAAATGTCTGCCCCCCCACCTCCCATTCATTATGATCCTATGTAGCCTTGAAGAAATTCATTCATCAAATGAACTGATGCCTTCCCTTTCATTGGGTTATTTCATCTGCCTAAATATGTTTGCGTTGGTAGCCAGATGGCAGCATGGGGTAGAGGCCCTGATCTGCCCTCTTGGCAATTTAGCCACTGCAGCTTATGGTCAGTGGAGGGGAGCATGGCAGCGGGGAGGGCGCCTCATTGTAGCGGCAGGACCACTGAATTGGCTCAGCTGCTACGTTTGCACCATTTTGATCCCCCTTCCCCTTCCCAGCAAGCAGCAGTGATTCACCTGTTGGAACATTAGTTAATCACTTCTGCCCCACAATGCCATCCACTACTTAGTTTGGTAAATTATGAGCCTGTTTCTGTGTAACTGTAAAAGTCTATCATATTGCTTCAAGTTGCTGATGTTTCACAGCTGAACATGATTTTTTCACATCTCCTTCTTTGGTTTTGTAATGTATTGGACAGTTTGATTTGTGAACCACTCTGGGATTTTCTACATTAGGAGCGGTATACAAATGGACCTTATAAATAAATAAAAACAAAGAGATTGGGGGGGAAAAGCTTGTGTGAAGGCTTATTTGCATAATCGTTTATCTCAACATGACAGCCTCTTCCCTCCCTTCCACTTTTAATTTGCTTGTATGGTCAACACACACAAAAACAATGTGACATGACACAATCAATCAGAGCTGCTAAACGACATATATTACCTTGCCAAGCCAGCATACTAAAAATGTGCATTTGCAATCAAGTGGATAATAATAGCAATTTGTTATTAAATAATTATCCCATAATGACCATCTTACTGTAAAATAATGTAATAAGAAAGCACTAGGAGGGAAGGTTGCCACCTCCTATCCAAGACTGAGTGCCTGAAGAGACACCACCCAGAGAGTGAGTTTTCTCTGCCACTTCTGACAACCTGCCCTCCACTTCCTTTGCCTGCAGTCATGAAGAGAGCCAGTTTTGCCCCACAGCAGGTGTATGAAGCAGACAGAGCAGCATCAAGTGATGCTATTCCTATAGTCATTGCCCTGGAGCTGTAAAATCAAAACTGTTGCCTTCAAGTTAGGATCCAGCAATGCCATTGGTTGTGATTTTATTGAGGATTACCAATAAAATGCAAATCTCTCATACCCTATTCCTATGACTAATCAAGAATCCTAAGTACAAATACTGTCTCACAAAGGGTCCTCCTACATTTTCCCCAGCATTCCTGAATTGTGAGGTTCAAATGAAATGTTCAAAATGTGCCCTGGAAAGAAAGAAAAAAATCCACAATATTTCAGACTGGAGGCAAAAAGTGCATTTCAAAGCCCTGAAGCCTTTTCAGATGAATTCCCTCTGGCACATTCCTCTGATATATTGAAAGGGACGATTCTGTTGATCATACCCTTGGCAGTGTTACTATTCTGGCATTATGACACCCTGGAGATTTCTGCATGCCAGAAAAATACCCAAGTCCTCTGCATTTATAACGGAGGCTTTATAATTGTGCTCAGATCCTTTCAAGAGCAGCCAAGTGCTAAAAGTTTGTGGATGAAAGTTACAGTGATTTTTTAAAAACCAACTATTAAGGTTTCAGGATGTCCCACAGTTCAAGGGAGGGTATTGTATTTCATAGCGGAACTCCACAGAGCAGTTACAACAGTGTCAGTGTCTAGTCTTTGAAAGCTTTATCTGAAAATTTAATAAGTAATTGTGTGTTTTAACTTATCACCAACTCTTTGGATCTAACTTATAGTGAGTCTTTTGGGCGAACCTCAACTGACTGCCAAGAAATTCCTTATCTGAGAAAAGGAAATACCTAGAGAACTCAGACATCACAAAAAAGGGCTAACCCTACCAGTTTGGATGTTACCTTTTTTGTGTGGGGGAGACTCAACTTGGTTAGAGTTGCAGTCACACATTACTCTCCCATGCACTCACTGTGGGAAGAAAGTTATGTGGCTGTAGTGTAGTTTCTTATGGCATCTTCCTGATGCTGCAACTGTAAATCACAATCTTTTGCAAGTAGAGATCAAAGAGATTGAGTAGGATACCACATTCAAATGAAGAAGCCCCAGTCTCCCTGATAGGGCTGGCATCAGGAGGTGAGCATTGCTGGACCCCTGCCGAGGCCCCCACCACTGGACACACCTGCTCCTCAGCCTCTTTGGTCACCTTCCCATCCCATTTGTGTTGTGTGTTTCAGTTGGTAAGCTCACCCTGCTTTGATTGTGTGTGCATAAGCTGCTTTGGCTGAAGAGGGGGTCAAAACACTGGTTAAATAACTGGTTATGGGCAAGTTGTGTAAAAAAGTGTAAGGCAAGATGTATTTCTAAACTTTTTCTACACTGAGTGTGGTGTTTCAATGCAACACTACCTCCAATGCACCAGAGTCCCCTATAACTGTTGTATAGCTTATATTCCTTTGTAGAATTATGACCGAACCATCACAGATTTAATTGCATCTACTCTACCAAACATAATTTTTCACGTATCACATTTTTTGCCTATGTAAAGTTCCTTTTGTGTGTGTGTGTTAGAGAAAAAAAGCTGCACAGGTGAGGTGTAATAATGCAAAAGCTTAATTTGCTGTGAGTCAGAAGCAGAAACATCTGCAGCATGAAGTAACCAAAGCTGAGCTTGGTGGCCTTTGCAGCAAAATGAGCACAACTTTCTCAGTTGTCTTTTTCTCATGCTCTTTCAAAGTTTTCGGTTATATAATGCTGCAGAATAGAGCTGATTGAACTAACCTGATTCATGTATTTGTTCAAGGCTAACTAGCTATCCAGCTAGGTGAAATGAAGGGAAGCTGTCTGTGGTGAGCCATAGCTGGGAAAAAGCACCTGATCACAGCCAGAGATAAAAAGCCTGGAGAATATTTGGAACTGAAGGGTGTGGGGAAGAGAAGTACAGCACAGTGAGAGGCTGAAAGGCAGAGTAAGGAGAAAGGTAAAGGGGGGGGGGGACAGAAGCTGCAATTGGTTGATTGCATCTGACATATGAAGGAGGTTTTGCCACAATCAACCTTGGTACTGTTTGAAAAACAGCTGCAATCCGAAACGTATTTACCAGGAAGTAAGCCCCACTGGCCACAATAGGACTTAAAGTAAAAGGTAAAGGTACCCCTGCCCGTACGGGCCAGTCTTGCCAAACTCTAGGGTTGTGCGCTCATCTCACTCTATAGGCCGGGAGCCAGCGCTGTCCGCAGACACTTCCGGGTCACGTGGCCAGCGTGACAAGCTGCATCTGGCGAGCCAGCGCAGCACACGGAACGCCGTTTACCTTCCCGCTGGTAAGCGGTCCCTATTTATCTACTTGCACCCAGAGGTGCTTTCGAACTGCTAGGTTGGCAGGCGCTGGGACCGAACAACGGGAGCGCACCCCGCCGCGGGGATTCGAACTGCCTACCATGCGATCGGCAAGTCCTAGGCACTGAGGTTTTACCCACAGCGCCACCCGCGTCCCTAGGACTTACTTCTCAGCAAACATGCAAAGGGTTGTCAGTAAGTGGCTACAAAAATCCTATGCTGACTACGCTGCTTACATTACTCTTTAAAGCTGAAATGTTTATAAATTCATGGAAGTGTTTCAGATGGTAGAATTATCATTTCTTTGTTGGCAGTCTCCTAAGACTCTTACAGTGGACTAAATATTTAAACTGAATTTTCATGTGGAGTCAAACATTTAGTTTGTATTTTATTTTCATTCTGGGTCACAGGTACAGGCATTTTGGCATAATTTTGATTATATGCAGCTGCTGGGAGAAATCAGCCAAAAAGTACAGCTTTAACGACATCAGCAATACCAAACAGTGCACTTCATTTCCCCCCCTGAAAGAAGTGTTTGTTTTGCATGTTTTTTAGCTCAAGGAGAGCATGATTCTGTCACCGTGTGTGTTCAGGTGCAAAAGATTCAATTTGCATGAAAAGGTGAGCTATTAAGGATCTTGCAGCACAGGGCAGGCTGAGATAGCTCAGTTGGTAAAGCATTAGGCTCTTAACCTCAGGATTGTAGGTTTGAGCCCCACATTGCTCAAAAGCTTTCTGCATTGCAGGAGGTTGGACTAGATGACCCTCACAGTCTCTTCCAACTCAACAAATTCTATTATTCTAAGTCAGGGGTAGGCAACCTAAGGCCCGGGGGCCAGATGCGGCCCAATCGCCTTCTCAGTCCAGCCCACGGATGGTCCGGGAATCAGCGTGTTTTTACATGAATAGAATGCGTCCTTTTATTTAAAATGCATCTCTGGGTTATTTGTGGGGCATAGGAATTAGTTGACCCCCCCCTCAATATAGTCTGGCCCACCACATGGTCTGAGGGACAGTGGACCGGCCCACAGCTAAAAAAGTTTGCTGACCCCTGTTCTAAGTTGTAGGTTTCTTGCCAAGAAACCTCTACTGGCATAAAGCAAGGTGTGGCCTCCAGCCTGCTATTCAGCTCATATGGGATCACATTAGAATGTAAATGACCAACCTTCCTCTGGTTTTAACTTAAAACCACACTGTACCACCTATTAATTAGATATGAGAAACCAGAGGTTTCAGGAGGTTCATCCAACAAGTACTGCAAATCTCACCACCACCTAGGTGGAATCTACACACATATAAAAAAACGCATCTAGTGTCATATTTGTATACTGCACTTTACAACACATTTAAAATGTTTTATTTGCAGCTGTATAGCTGAGTGCCTAGACACCCATTTGTTAAACAACAGAGTCTTTTGGGCAGACATCTGGAAATAGCCCTTTCAGAACCATCTTTTTGTACAATTAGATTTCCCCACCTAATTCCATCCCCTGCGTTCTCCCACAAGCCCCACAGTTCCTTTTACCCAGCAGTCCCTCCTTGCGTTCGTCTAAGTTAGTAAGCTCCTGGGTAGTATCTGCCTTATAATCAACCACTTCTCCAGTGTTCAGACAGAACATAAGCAATGATCAGTACTAATTATCTGTCTTTAAATCCTCCTCCGCTGCCTTTTCAGAGTTACCATGAATTTTCGCTTTCCCTCCTCTCCAACTGTGTTAGAGACTCATCTCCTCTTTCTCTCTTCCTGGGAACACTTCAGTAGTTATTTCCATGAGCATAGCCAGGATTTTTGTTAGGGCCAAAGTTGTTGAACTTTTTTGCCCCCCCTCCCCCGGCTATTCTCATGGTTATTCCCAGCATTCTTAATAAACTACGGTTCCCATGATTCTTTGACAGGTAAATGAAAGGTGTGTACACAGCTTTCCTGATCAATGTGGAGGAAGGTGGAATCTCCCAAAACTGGGCTTGAATAACTTAATATGGAACTTCAAGGAAGGAATATTCCCCCTGCCTTCCCCCAGGAACCCAACTCATCTCTCATTGCTCCAAAGAAGCTTTTCAGGAGCTGCAGCAGGCCAAACGTATCCCTCCATGAAACTACCTTAACATATCGTAGGATCCAAGCCAGCATATACAAAATGCCCAGAGCTATGATTGATCCATGAGTTACTGACAGCATGTGCAAACAATGTGCACTCAGTTTGTGTCTTTTTTAATTATTTTATTTATTTATTAAATTTACATTCTGCTTTTCCTCCCAAAGAAGTCCAGGGTGGCAAATGAGCGATAAAGCAATAAAACAGGTCTGCCTGCTACAAAACCTGATAGCTGAAAGCCTCTTAGCAGAGCCACACCATACATTTAAAGCAGATCCAATGCACATTTAAAGCAAAAGAATCTTGGGAACTATAACTTGCCCCTCAGAGTTACCACAATTCCCAGAATTCTTTGGGAGAAGTCATGTACTTTAAACACGTGTGCACGTTGTCTCCTGAGGCAGATGGATGCCAACCAATGTCTAAATACCAATTGCTATGAAGCACAGAGCGGGAGATAGCAACTGTCTTCATGTCCAGGTTGTGGGCTTCCTAGGAGGCATTGGGCTGGCCACTGTTGGCAGCAGAACGCTGGGGCTGCTCAAACTTGGAAGGTTTTCACAGAATCTGCATGCCCACACATCCACAGGTGAGCATCTCACCCCATCTCCAATTTAATTTGGATTTACCATTTCCATGGAAAATCCATTTCTTAAAAAATAAAAAACCCTGTTTCTAGCAACACATTTGTGATGTCTGAATGACCCATTTGCAGTACAGTGGTGCCTCGGCTTACTTATGCTTCAGGTTACAGACTCCGCTAACCCAGAAATAGTACCTCGGGTTAAGAACTTTGCTTCAGGATGAGAACAGAAATCGTGTTCTGGCAGCACGGCAGCAGCAGGAGGCCCCATTAGCTAAAGTGGTGCTTCAGGTTAAGAACAGTTTCAGGTTAAGAACGGACCTCCGGAACGAATTAAGTATTTAACCCGAGGTACCACTGTATTAAGCCCCCATCTAGAAGGAACATGATGTTCTTGGGAAATGCTTTTCTCAGCAAAATACAAGGAAAGGCGAAGACCGTTACTCTATGTATCTTGACGAGAAAAGCAGCAACTGAAATATTCATATCCTTCACAAGGCAGAAGAACCAGAGTGCAAGCAGTATGAAGGAGCACCAAGATTAGGGACATTTCTTTTAACATACTGCAGGGCAACGAAGTGTAGTTTTTGTGCCATCTGCCCCAGCACATCTTACAGTATTAAGTGCCAGACATGACCAAAGGCTGGTTAACAAGCTACCATTTTTGTATCACCCTAATGGGCTGAAATGAACCAGCCTGGTTATGAGGCTGGTCTAAGGTATCAAACAGGGCCTTTTAGCAGGCAATTGAACATCCCTCTCACACAGACCAGAGGTTCTATATTTAACAAAGCTGGGCAACTGAAATGGCTCTTCAACCAGAAAGTAATTATTCAGTTCATGAAGCACACTGCTGTAAATCCTCCCTAAGATTCAAAAAAGGCAGACATATAAGCCACTTGATACTGAATAAAATCTTTTAAAAGGCCACATAGAAGCCATTAAAGTACATTCAGAAGTCCTCAGCTATTTCCCTAATGGGATTAAAACAGCCACACAATAACTACAAGAAACATGAGGAGAAATTACTGCTAGAAATAAAACGCTGGGGTCTCTACCAGGCAGAATGAATGCCAGTGTGCTAAAGATGCCAGCTGTCCTCAGTAGACACATTTGTTCTGGAAATGCATTTCCCCCTCTTTCATTCCCCACCTGGTCCAACTCACAAGCTGGAAGACAGGGTTATTGGGTACATAAAAACAATTAAACCTTATTTACTGGGATGCGATAAACAAAGCACACCAGATTTAAATCATTTAAACAGAAAAGCCACAAGCTAACGAAAAAGTATCCTTAGTTTTGAGCTATTTTTTAAACATTGTTGGTCATTCTAATGGACCCATAACATTTATACAGCCCTGTGCCCTCAGAGTGGCCACTTTTCTTCAATTAGTCTTGACAACATTGAGATCAACGAACATTGTGCAGGAATGTCAGATTTGGTGAACTTCAAATCCCACATTAATTCTTACGGCTATGGTTTGTTGTTTTCAAACACACACACACACACACACACACACACACACTTAAAAATATGGTGCTTCCAACAAAACTGATGAAATCTTTTATAACCTTAACATATCCAACGGCTATATATTTATTCCCACTGGAGAAGGATTCCCATTTGCTATTGACTTGGGATTTTACCGTTCAGCACCAGAAAAAACATTTATAACTCTTGAAGAATAAGAAGTACATTTATTGCCCCAGGCTGAATAATCTCTCATCATTATGTTTCTACGTGCTTTTGGCAGGGCCAGAAAAAGAGAAAGATATGCAATGATGTACAACATGCAGTACAATACATCAGGTGTGCACTAATGCAATGGGACTAAACCTACCATCATAATCCTTTCATTTGTAAATCATTATAAAAATGCATTTTGTATGCCAGCGGTTTTGTGCAACTTGGTGCTACTTTTATTTGAATTCAGTATTTTCGGTTCAGCTCCTCTTCACTTCCATTAAACAGCTTCTGCTACTCTTGCACCTCTAATGAGATGGAGAGTGGCCAGAAGTGATCACAATGAACACTACTAAACAGTTCAGGGGTCAGAAAATCTTTTGAATCCCTGGGTACATTTGCAAACTGAAGAAACTGACGTGGCCGCTACACACACTGCAACCTACTCTATTGGCTACAGTGGAATGTTTTTTGCCAGGCCCCATCCGGTTGGGGTCCCTTCGGTGGGGAAGGGACCTAGTGGGCAAAGGCTTCTGCAGGTGCACCCTTGGGTGCCATGTTAATGACCATGATGTAATGTCAACAAGCTGGCAAGAAGAAAAAGAGCTACAAACAAGCTTTGTAGCACAGAGTTGGAAAAATAAATAATGCAGATATGACAAAGGGGGGATGCCAAGACAAGGCAGAGGACCCCATAGCTAATTCAACGTTGCACTCTCCTAATTGTCAGACAAAATGAGCCTCCCTCTCTTCCCCTCGCGATACTACGAAGCCAAGCATGCCTCCTAAAAACAGTATATGATTTTGTGTTACTTACTCAAAAAAAGTTGTCCATCCAGTCTCATCACTTTTCGTTGCTAGGAGTCCACTGTTGCCATGATAGGTAAACAAGACTAGCTCCTGCCCTTGGGCTGTCATGCTTTTTAGACATCCATTGGTTCCTATAGTTAGCCAGATAACTTGGTTGTCAGGAGATACCACCCTCACTGGCATCCGGTTGGGATCTCGCCTTATACGAAGCGTATTTCCATTGCTGTCAGTTACAGCCGTGATGTCGTTGTCGTTACTGTAGCTAAAATTGTACAGATAGTCTCCTGTGACTAAACTCATCGTGTACTGATGGGTGCCGTTGACATCAAAGATGTAGAGTTCCTGATCGGTTGGAGAGGCAACTTCATAAAAATTCATTGAAGTCAGCAACGGTTTGTTCTTTGACACGGCTCGTATCCGAATATTTCCAAGATCAGCAATGTACAACGTTCCATCAGGTGATGCAGCTAAAGAAGATGGGGCATTAAGTTTGGCATCTTTAGCATAACCATCACCATTTTGGTAGCAGTCACAGTTAACATCATTTTTGCAAT